CACTTCATGAGGATCAGCACGGCCAAGTCAGATATGGCAATGCACTTTCTGAGCCCTTTCTAATAACCAATGGTGTGAAACAAGGCTGCGTTCTGGCACCAACCCTATTCACAGTCTTTTTCAGCATGATGCTCCAAAGGGCCACGGCAGACCTTGATGATGATGATGGTATCTACATTCGATATTGTACTGATGGAAGCCTATTCAACCCAAGGCGACTGAAGGCCCACATCTTGTCCAGCTTTACGCTGATGACGACACCCTTGTCACTCACACAGAAGTAGCTCTGCAGCATTTATCATCCTGCTTTGCTGAGGCTGCTGAGCTTTTTGGGCTGGAAGTCAGCTTAAAGAAGACAGAAGTCTTCCATCAACCTGCACCTCAGGAAGTCTTCCATCATCCCCATATCACCATTGGCCAATCAGAGCTCAAATCAGTCCAGCAGTTTAATTACCTAGGTAGCCTCATCTCCTCGGACAGTAAGATTGATGGAGAGATAGACAACAGGGTAGCAAAGGCATATAGAGCTTTCAGAAGACTCCATAAAAGAGTTTGGCGAAATAAACACCTGAAGAAAAGTACAAAGATCAGTGTTTACAGAGCCATAGTGCTGTCTACTCTTTTATATGGGTCCGAATCATGGGTCATTTACTGCCACCACCTTCAACTCCTAGAATGCTTCCATCAACGCTGTCTCCGTACAATCCTAAACATCCACTGGTCAGATTATGTGACTAATACATCTGTTCTAGAACAGGCAGCAGTCACAAGTATTGAGGCCATGTTGCTGAGAACACAGCTGCGTTGGGCGGGACACGTCTCCAGGATGAAGGACCACCGCCTCCCTAAGATCTTGCTTTATGGTGAACTTACTACTGGCTGCCCCAAGAGAGGAGCCCCGAAAAGGAGATACAAGGACTCCCTGAAACAACATCTCAGCCTTGGCCACATTGATCTTCATCACTGGTCTACTCTGGCCTCCAATCAGGAGGTCTAGAGACACACCATCTATAACACTGCTGCTTCTTTTGAGAACGCACACAGGGTCACTCTCGAAAAGACAATGCAGAAAGAATCGTGTCTTGCCTATACCATCCAAGGAGTCTTTCTGCTGTGCCTTTTGCAACCGGACATGTCTTATCTCCCATTACCCTCTTTAGCCACCAGCATGCTTGTAGCAAATGTGGGTAGCGCCCTTTCCAAATCTTTGTTCGTGAAGCCCAGCCGTGAGAAGTGTAAGTAGGATGTGGTAGAAAGTGTGACAAACTTAAAAATGTAGCAATAAGCTCTTGCTTGAAGTGTAGACCTTTAATGTCAGAGTATGAATTTGTTATTTAACTTTAAAGTACTCCTCTTTTTATTGTCATGACCTTTTATTAGCAGCCTATAACTGGTCTATTGTTATGCATGTTCTGACAGAGTATGCATACTGCAATGAAGTATAGATGCTCTTCAGGTGTTGAATAAAGTATTTACTATTTCCATATTTAGATACAGGACAAATTTTCAATGACATGCCTTTTAATTGCTTAATCAGAAAGGTTATATAAAATAGTTTTAGCAGTAGGGGGGTTTCTGATTAACTGATAATGGAGCAAACCCATATTACAGACTATTTTGATTATTTTGCCTTGATTACCAAATATTAGTCTGATCTTTTTCAAAAAACATATCCAAGTTTCTAAGTCTGATATTTATCCACAGTATAGAAATGCTGTAAGAAATTGCAGTGTTTGCCTCTCTGTACTGTCTTGAGAATTTGTTTCATCCCTGTTAAAGAAGGTCATTCCACTTATCAGAAAACTGACCAATACTTGAAGATGTGGAACACTCCCAGCATAAAAGGTGTTTAGGTTCTCGAAGTACAGTTTTGTTTTGTTGCTCCTACATCCATAGGTTGTATATTTTGACATATTTTAATACAATAACAAGATTAGATAGGTCAGATTTTAATAATGATTGAGGTTTTATTTATACTGTATTTTCAAACATAAAGTTGTTTAAGAATTTCACTATGCACTTTGAATCTTGGGAAAAAAAACCCTTTTTTGTAAAATAGTCTATTCCCTTTACTATTCCAACAAAACCAGTGTTTTAAAGAAAAGTGCTACTGTATAGCACTTTTTTTTAAGTGAAACAAACTTCAACTTTTTCTGGTCATGTCTTATTAAGAGTTGAAATCATCAGCTCCTCTAGGAGTGAGAGAAAATATACATGACAGCAGCCTGTGACTCAGTTTCTTACAGTTTTAATGTGGCAAAATTGTCATTAAACATGTGTTTGTTTGCCAACCTAAAATTTAGTTATACCATTGTGAAAGAAATTAGAATGGCCTTAAGAGCAGTTCATTAATCTTCTAAATGGGTTCTTCAGCTGTTTGCTGCTGTCTTGATAAGAAGATGAGCTTCACCTGTTTGAAAGAGGAATGCAAGTGGAAGATACAGATTTAGAGGGTTTTTTTAAAATTGTTAGAAAAAATATAGTATTTACTAGAATAAGAAGATTTGTCTTTCTTATAGAAACTTTAGTATAATTTCTCTGGATTTCTTTATTCAACTCTGTTTTGTATCTGTAAGAAAAGTTCCAATACAAGTTCCTGTCCAATAAAAGATACAGTGTATTTGAATAAAAACATGGAATCTAATCTATTTCATGGCTTGTAAAGGAAGTTGGTAAATCCTTTTGAAAATGAAGAATAAAATTATTTCTATCTACATCTATCTTTGTACTCAAAAAGTTGTCAAGTTGTCTTTCTATGCTTAAAAACAGAGATATAGTCAACTCAAGAATGGAACATGGGCGCACAAGACTACATTTTTTGGCCTAATAGAATCTTATAGGCTATATTACAATTACAAGAAATACATCTACCATCAAAACCTCACCTGATATATTTCCTTAATCTTCTGTCATATGATCCTACAAGTTTTAGATCTATAGATCTAGATTTTTCTAGTAATCGATGAGTGCATTGACAATGATGAGTTTTGTATTGCTGAACTCAAAGTACTTGAATTTGACACCATATTCTGAATGACGTTAAAATATATGCCTATTTTAACTGTTTAAATCAAAGAGTTTGTTATATAGAGTGCTAATAAGTGAGTCAATTTAAAGCAATCTTTTCAATAAAGAAAAAGAAAAGATGCTTCATTTGGGATAAAAGTCACTGAATCACAAGAGGAAAGGCTATCAAAGGAGAAGATTCAAATAAAAAAATTTTATTTTTATGAATATTTACATCAAGGTTTTGGTGTTGGAATTTTTTTTCGTTATTCATTGTCCCTGCGTGGAAAGTAGCAGGATAATAGCTGCATCCAGATTTTCCAAAGGGATCCAATGGAAATTCAGGACTTGGTTCACATTTGTTTGGAAACTAAAAGATTCTGAATTTCTTCATATACATTGACACAAATAGAGCACTTGATCCCAGGTCAGTATTTCAGTGTGATAACTAATCTGCAGGTATAGAAGGAACATACATCAGATCACTTCCATTCATGGATTCATGAAATCTGGATGCTGAATCTGGGCTGAACATTTCTGTTGTTGGAACTCCTTTGAGAATATGCCATTTAGCCCAGAGCAGGTTCTCAAAAATTGTTTCCTAACACTTTTAGATTTTCTGCGTAAAAACCTTTGAAAATTCCTATAACTTTTTTCATTAGGAATGTATCAGTTCCTTATTATTCTTCTCTCCCCAGTCTCTGTAGGCTGCCAGGTTGGACACCCAGACACCCTTCTCATACTGCACCAGGAATTGCTGGCTCTTGTGCCAGCAGGTTTCTGGAACTGGCTGGTACAATAATGCCCCTTCTCACTTTGTAAATCTAAGAGTCATTAAGTGGACTGTAAGAACGACTAAGTAGACTTATATGTGTAATTTGAAATAAGTACTAGGTAGGGTTTGTACTTTTGCTGACATGTTTTACAGTCATCTACGTCGGTGTTTCAATCTGCACTTCTAAGTCATGCAGACTCAGTCATTTTCAAGTTACAAGCACGCTGTGCTGTGCCTGTGTCAGAGAATAGTTTATAAAATTGGAGTAACTGAGTTCATATCTGATTCTTAAGTGTGAATAATGAATTCTTATTCAATGTCTTTTGTTGTTGTTGCTCTTTTTTAGCTGCTTTTTTTTTGTTGCAAAATAATAGTTACTCATGAGAGTTAAAAAAGTACACACACTTATTTGAAATGGTGCTATTTGCGTCCTGATTGTATTTAACAGTATGCAGTAAATCTAGTAAAATAGAAGTGCAGTCTTTACGTATTTAAGAAGAAAAAAAGTGTAAATTCTGCCTGCTGTCATGATAAACTCAGCAATTTACTAGCTTTAAATACAGTTTTATTTTCCTGTAGAAACTGTTAACGATCTTCAAGATGCAGGTCTCACTGCCCATTTAAAATGTCTCTATGAGCGAATTACCTGATAATACAGCTCTTCTACTGCAAAATATCTAAAGATTATTAGATCTGGAATTTTTATTTTCTTCTAATAACTCATCTGTCATCATGCACAGTAAAGGCATTTGCCTTTACTTTTATCTAACTTAAGGCAAGCTACATTTTTGTCTTACCTCTTCTTCATGATGGGATTGCCCTTGCACATTCTACTACTCTGCAGGATAGAGATGTTAACTGTGAATCAGAAATCGTATTGTAGGTGTAAGGCATAAAATAAAATCGATACATTTTTCTGAGCCATGTCACTGGTTAAGTGATAAAAAATATTCTGATAGTCACTGAAAAAGAAAAGTCAAAGGTACATTTGAACCTGTCAGTTCAACACATTCCTGTTATCCCTTTAGGGGATATCATACAACTTGACACCAACATTTAAGCTTTGAAAATTATGAGCTCATCTATTTAAAATGGGATGTCACATGTTCCCAAGCCTTTGCCATTACTTATAATGGAAGACAGGATGATCACTTTTGTCACACATTGATAGTGAATAAGATCTTTCTTTTTTTCTTTTCTTTTTTTTTTCTTGTTTCAGAATGAAGAACAAATTTTGGTATTTTGAATTTGGCACTTCGGAAACTTTCTCAGCCACCTGTAAGAAGCTGCATGAATCTGTAGAAATAGAAGTAAGAAACTAATTGTTGCCTTTATCCTTGAAATGTCACTAGTTTGGCTGAAATGCAGGGAACAAGGGTACAGAGTGCCTGAATCCAGTAAGGCAAAGGAGTGCACATCCTTTCGACCCTATATTCCAAAATATTATTTTTATCATGTCTATTTGTAGTGTAGCCCTGAACACTGGAACAAAGTTCAGTTTGATGATTAGTGAAGTCTTAATACAGTAGACAAGGTCAAGAGGTGAAGTATAGCATTAGAAATCAATAGGGAGTGTGGCTAGGTCAGATGGAAAAATGAAAGACTGTTGGAGGGAGTGAGAGCTGCTGCAGGATTAAAATAAAAAAAAAATCTTATTATTTCCAGGTCCCAAGATTTTATAACCTTTAAAACTCAATTCCCTAAAATTGTACTTACTTTCCTGAATAAAGGTTAAAGAATATATGTATTTTTTTGAATCATTCCCCTTCATTAAATACCTTTTCTCTCTGCACAAGGGGTCATCTTTCCATTATACATTGAACATTAACTGAAAAGACACAGAATAGTTACAGACAAAATAGGAATTTAAAATAGTGTGCCACTGCCACTTTGATGGCTGATGGAATAAGTGGCTATATTACATAAACTCTTTGGGGGATTGATGTTTATAAATAAGGACATGAAAAATGTGAAATGAGTGAAAGTACAAACTTGAGAATTTAAGTTAAATAATGAAATCATTTCTCAGGAGGATTATGGTGCTTTTCCTTTCCAATAGTAATGAGGAACTGCACGTGTCAATGGAGTATTTGTATAGTAGCATGAGGCACTCGGAGAGGTATGGTGAGAGCTGTGAGTCTGGTCAAAGCCTCCTGAAAGGTGAAGTCTGAAATGATCTGAAGGGACCATGAATCTGGTAGCAGAACAGTAGCAAAGAGTACTGAGGCTGAAACTGTAAGACCTGCAATGCTAGATTTGCCTGTTATCATGTTATGTTTCTTCTTAAAGTGGAAACATGCTCCTCACAAGTTGGATTAAAATATAATAAAAACAAAACAAAACATCAACCAGAAACCCTAGGAAAAAAAAAAAAATCCCCCTTGATTCCCAAGACAGTGCTTCAAAAACATGCATTTGGGGAAACAGTGTGTGAAAAATATTTCATTAGTTATTGGAAGAAATGCTTACTGGTTTGATTAGATTTGAATATACTGCAAGTTAAATGTACCTTTTGATTAAATTCAAATTGATGAGGAGGCTTTCCCAATAAAATATTAACATCTGGTGAAAATCATACATATCCTGATACATACTAAGAGGTGAACTTATATAATTGTAAACACTGAAAGGGTGATTTAATGTTGACATCCCAAAGCAAACAAGTAGGTATACGAGTTTGTGGTGCTGCTGATACCAGTTGTATAGTTATTACCAATTCATGTCAATAACTATTGTTACCAAGATAGTATTACATTGCCAGTATATGAGACGTTTGTTAATATTCACTTCATCTATCCTGGTCATTATCATTAGTCCTACAATTAGGAACAAAAAGCATAGTTTCCAAAAGTTTACAGGAAGTGGTAGGAGGTGGTTATCTGCAGATTTATTTACAATGAGTAAATTACAATGGATGCCAATATGCTTGTTTGAACATTATCAACATTTGGAAGTAGCACTGTTTTAATCTAATTTTTAACCTGCTACCCCTTACTTGGGGATGTCACTATAAATGAGAGCTTGATGTATGAGACCATATTTCACTCAATATAATGCACAAAGAATGTGTTTGCTATACAGCCAAATTTTGAATTAACAAAGCCCGGGAAGATTAAGGTTGTGTATCTCTGAGCTTTGAGACAGTGATCAAACGCTGTATGGGCAAATATTTGTTCAACCCTATATTTGATTTCTAAACTATTTAAGATTGGTTTTCCTGATATTGGTTTTTCTTGACTCATGTTGTGCATGTTTTCTTCTGTGTGAGTGTGAAATGCAGAACGAAGTTGGACACAAGTCTTATGTTATCCAGAATAAGATGTGTTTTTGTTTCCAAACTGGGATCCAAGAAGTTGAGGAGAGAAACATAGGTTCTAAAGGGAAAGAAACTAAAATGGAAAAAAACAAACAAACAAACTAGGACAAAATTTAGTATTTATTTTTAATAATAATGTGTCAGTAAACAAGGCTGATGATTTTACAGTTTAAAGAACTTGCACTTTATTTCTGCTTCAGTAAAATAGAAGGGTATGTGAAAGGTATTTAATGAGAGTAGGTAGAGATGAAGTGTAAGTGGGGGTGAGATGGATCATACCTGCAACACTGTAAAAGCATTGTCAGACCAGTGTAAACCCTCTATACCACCTGGTTTTAATGGGTGAAGGAAAGGAGTTTAAAATGTTCGCATACTCTGGCATTCTATTGCCCTTGGTTACACAGCAAAGCCTTAATCTCAGCTCTTTTCAGGCATAGATATGGATATACTCAACTTAGAGATGATCTGAAAATGTTTGATATAATAAATAAAGTATAAATAATAATATTGAAAAAGTGACTGAGGCCAGGAAAAAAGGCAAAAAAAGAACTAAAAGAGATGGATTTTCTTTCTGATCTAGGTAGGCATGCTCTACATTTTAAAAGCATGCTTTTATTTTTAACAGCATCGTTGCATTATTTGAAATTTAAAAAAAAAAAAAGGAAACGAAAAGGAGCAGAACACATCTGTGTTTTGTTGTTGTAGTATATGAATGTCTTAGGACAAAACAGAGCTACCTGTAGCGCAAACTTCTTGTCTGTATATGAACAAAAGAAAGGCTTCTTTCCTAATTCAGAAAGTTGCTCATCACTCTGGGACTCTGAGGCCTCATCACATAATTGTGTTAGTGTACTACCCGCTGTGCTCAATATTGAGTGAAAATGGAAGCTAGACCCCGCGCCATCCTATTTCACAATTCGTCTTTTATTTAAATAATTCCAGTCAGTTTGGGGGACGCCAGACCTTTATAAATTAACAGCAGGGAAATACCAAAGGTGTCAGATTGCATATTTATCATCTTTCTCGTGTAATACTTAAATATGTATTAAGAAGTGACTGACATAAATTAGGCAGATTTCAGAAGCCACAGGCCGTGGCTTGTAGAGGACCCCCTTCTGCTTGACATTTCATCCTTGTCAAAGATCAAATTATTTTAATTTAGGCTGCAAATTATAAGAAATGAAGACTTCTTTGTGGGAATTCCCTGTGGTAATCTGACTTTTGTTGTTACTGCTGCTTGTCACTGTGCAAAAGATATAATATGCATGCAAATAAGGTTAAAAAATATGTACTATCTAATTATCCAGCCAGTACATTCCACTTGAAGACAGTGGGAGGCCTGACACACAGTATGTGTTTGATTCATTGAGGCCTGCAGGGTATTTACACAAGATTACTTTTAATTATGAAATTAATATCTGTTTATCTAGAATGTATAGCAGTAAGTGAGCATACACATGAGCAGAATTTTTAGCAAAATAAATCATCTTAGTATTTAATACATATAAAATATAGGGGGCAACCACAAATTTGTTTCCAGAAATCAGTGAAGTCCTATACCTTTTTTCTTGTAAGAAAAGTGTGATTGAAAAGTTACACTTTCACTTACAGTTGTTGCCACAACTGCCAGCTCACTTTCAGATGTCTTTTGACTTTAAAGGTTTCTGTGTATGAATATAATCTACAGGTTTAAAATTTAATTCTTGAAGAGCAAATATGAAATGGAAATCTTAGTGTTGAAATAGTTCTCTGTCCAGATTTATGCTCTTAGAAGAATTAAGAAGATGTGTGTGCATTATAATACAGTTCTGTTTTGTGATCTCAGAAATTTTCAGAGTAAACAAATAATTATTCACAGTTATTTTTGAGTTATACTTTGGTTTTCTTCTTCAAAGCTGCGATAAAGGTTTAGTCAGAGAGGAAGAAGTGCCAGTGACCCACAGAGCAGCAAGCTGCAAGATGTCAGTGGACTATTACTGAAGCATGGTTAATTATTTTTCCAGTTTTCTTCCTGATTCTTGCATATTGCAATTAGAAAATAATACCCTTAATCAGTTTTCAATGGATCACTAGATCCTTTGCTAGCTTGCAGAAGAACGTTGCAGAAGTAGGATCTAATGTTTTAAAAAATATGCTGCTCTACACTGTGGTGCATGTGACTTGCCAGGATATCTATATACTCCATCTTTGTTGTGAGGAATGAAGCTAATCTAACTCTAGACAGGGTACATGTATATGAATCCTGGGAATTTTGGCTGGTTCAGTGAACTAATCAGTAGAACTGAATGCTTTGCCTTCCACCTGCGGGTTCCACTGTAGTAATGTGAAGTTGGGTCTTTTTTTTATTCTGTGGAGTTTCTTCAGTATTTTTCTACAATTTTTTGTGAGTTAGGAGGGTAGAGTTATGAGTTATGTTGGTGGAGGGACTTAGCTTGAGTAAATTATAGCCAGCGAAGGGAAGGTGTATCCTATCCAGCTAGGTGCATCTCATCCAATGTGTCTCAGGTGAACTGTATTTGCAAATGTCATAGGCTTCAGCCACTGGAGAAAATGCTGCAGTTTGTCACTCAACAAGTTGAGTGACATAGTTGGCTGATAAGTTAAGAACCCTGAACCGTTCTCCAGAAGTGCAAAATATGGTCCCTTATAAGATATAATTGGAAGCCAGATTTAGCAAAGAAATGTACCTCTATCAAATGCCTATAAGTCCAGGTTTGCTGTAGGGAGAAATACATACTGGTAACACAAGATGCCCTACAGCCATTATTTCATCACTGAAGGGACTATCCCACAAAGATTACTTCTGTGTGTCCAGTAGGTCTTGGTAAAATTTTAGGTCACTGATACCTCTTCTTTAGCTCCATAACCTATGTTTTCCTTTGGCAACGATGTGTATTTAAGAGAACTGGATAGTAGAGGTTCTGGGATAAGAAATGCTATAGCTGCATCAGCATTTGCTGTACCCATTTCTACTAATCTTACCTCCTAGTAGGAGTTATTAGTCAGGTATAGCCCTATGCTAATATGCTTGTTGTGCCTTTGGATTGAAACTAATACCTGTGTGGTGTTCTGTGTTCTCAGGGCCTGTTCCATGAGGCTGTGTATTCCCTGCCTGCAGGGACTTTTATATTCAGTTTCACGTGGAAGGGACTCAGTTGTTACAGTGACAAGTATCATTGCAAAATCATCAGACAGACAATTTAGCTGGAACAGGCATCAAAACCCCTCCAGTTACTGATATAGAAATTTTGGTAGTATAAATGGTTTTCTGTTAATAGCTGTATTGAAGCTTAAGCAGTCAAAAGCTGACTAGCAATCATGTTTTACCTTCAGAATGAGGATCTGATCTCATACCTCCTTTTCAAATTAAAGTATATATCTTAGGTGTAAATATTGAATAAACTATTAGCAGTGTTAAGAATGATGAATTGCTGAAGAAAAATATCTATCTGATAGGTAGAATATTCAGATTTTTCTTTCTCTCTTATTGTTTTCTCTCTTTTTTTTTTCCCTTCTTTTTCCCCTTTTTTAATCAGTGTGATGGAATTCAGCTAGACTTAATCAATATATCTCTGGAAGGAATTGCCATTCTGAACATCCCAAGCATGCATGGTGGATCGAATCTTTGGGGAGAGACAAAGAAAAGACGTAGCCACCGTCGGACAGAAAAGAAGAGGTCAGATAAAAGAACCACTGTTACAGATGCCAAGGAATTGAAGTTTGCATGCCAAGGTAAGCTTACTGATTGATATAGGCTATCTGGCTCAATACAGTCAACTCAGCTGTATAAATGACCTTGTATTGCCTCTTGTCAAGAAAAAGGATAGACAGTTCTTAGATATTTCCTTTCTTGTGCATTTAGCTTTTCTGATGGGAAGCCCTGGCGCAAAGGCATAAGCAAAGATGTGCTAACAATTACAGTCTATATACTTGCAAACCTGTCTCAGATGTTACCTGTTAAGCAAACTAAACACACCACATGGCACTTTGCTACTGTGGCATTCAGTCTAGAAGTACCTGGAGATTTTGGAGTTGGAAAATGCTTCCTGAGCATTTATAATGCTTCTTAATGTCAGTGTGCATAAAACTTGGGGATAATCATGCTCTGTTTCTAGCAAGCTTTGGATAGAGGCAATGGGAAATTAGAGTAACAAGTACAAGCTGCCTATACATTTTATGTTACTATACTGTGATGCTGTATGCAATCCTTGAATACATAAGCTGAAGTTGGCTTGCACAGGCAAGGCTCATATAATTTCCTGGTGATTACTCTTGATAAAGCCTATAATAAATAATAATTTCTGTTCTACTTTGAGAATCTGAATACTATGCATTGTAACATATCGCTGCATATCACAAGTTCTAGTGATTATAAACCATCACTCTCTTTACACCAAAGGGATGAACAGACTAGACTTTGAAAATATTTGGGGTTTTTTGTTTGTTTGGTTCTTTTTTCTCTTTTTATTCTACAGAAAATATTGTCTTATCTTCAGAATATCTTCCTGCTTCTCCTCCTTATTCGGACTGAATACAGATCAGGACTGTCTTATATTATTATGATCCTTTTACTAATATTGATATCTTATTTTTACATTTCATCAGCAGTAATTTTTAAGTCACTAGTTATATTCATTAATATGTGTTGTAGTTTTAATTCAGCTAAATTATCTGGATTACAAAAGTTTAGGAATAAAGTATTTTTTTATAGCTTGGAGGCTGCAATAGGTACTAGGACTCAATTTCTGTAAGTTTGAGCAATTTGGTACGTGTTCTCAGTATTTCAATGTGACTCACCAGTACAGTTTGTTAGCTGAAGTTCTATCAGGTGCTAAGCTTCTCCACTACAATGTCTGTATTATATCCTGATGTTCAAGAGTTGGATGCAGGCTGTTGGGTAAAGGGCTCATCAAAATTTTTCCTTTTGTTTTGCTTCTGAACATGGGGAGACAGGACATTTATCCTTTTGATAGTGATGAAGCAGACATTATCACTTCTTTAAATATTGAAGTTATGTATGTCTTTGCATATGTAACAATGATTTCAATCTACTGACTATATTTGGGGTATTAAAAGGGCATTGCTACACTCCATTTTCATTTTCCTGGACAGGATAAAATAAAATTATAGTAAAAATATTAAAGACTGAACAGGAGTTGCTGCATTATCTGTTGAAGTGTTCATAAAGCAGACGTTAAGCACCTTAATTTAGAAAAGCTACTCTCATGACTTTGTTTCTAATCACTTTATATGCACTGTGAATGGAAAGTAGCTTCATCCAAAAGGCAATTTTAAAGCAGAGATTAACTTTTCAATATCATAAACTATAGCACCACTGAGTACATTGATAGTATTATTGTTTGGGTCTACAGTAACATTTTAGTGCTGAACAGGAGGATGCTTCTTGGATTTCAGTCATCCATATTTACTGTGTTCCAGTTTGCAACATTGAGCAGTCTTGAGCATGTAAACTGGATTCCTTTTAAAGGGAGGTAGGAAGGGGGTGTGTACATACTCTGACTGCAAGTGGGTGTTCAGTCCATGGAATAAGGTTAAAAGAACTCAAAATAAAACTCCAAAATGAACGTGGTGAGAACATTTGAGAACAAACTGATTTGCTCTATGGATCCACTCCTGTTTTATACTGCAAAGAACAGTCACTTAGCTAGCTAAGATAGGTTCTCAGGCTGAGTGTGCTTCTTCATCTCAGAATTCAAGATTATTGCTGAATAATGGAATTCAACCAATTTTATGGCTAGACTTCTCAAATAGTTTTGATAAATCTGAATCTACTCACTGTGGAAATAACTGACTGTTTGTCAGTTTTAAAGTGTTATGAGTTCCTCAGTGGCTGATTGCTTTCTTAGGCACATTGTACTTTTGGCACATTGTACTTTTTAGCTGGAAGAAAATATTTTGCATAGTATTAATGCCTGGTGCAGAAATAGGTATTGCTTTATTGAGAACCATGATAAATACATACCTGCCTGTTAACTTTTGTTTGTTTATTAACTTTTTCTGAATAAATATCCATGTAATTCATGTTATATTCAAATAAAGCATCTAATCACTTGACAACTAAACCACTTGACAACTAAACACTGCACTTTCTAGGAGACAGTAATCAAGCATCATGTTTTCCTATGGATATATATTTATATATATATATACACATCAGGTTTTGGTGTTGGATTTTGTGTGGAGTTGTTTTTTTTTTAAATCTAACCATTTTATATGGGACTTCTTGGTGTCATGCACATTTAGTTTTAGACTTTTTAAATTGCAGTGAAACTGTGGGGTTTCTTTTAACTGTGTATTCTTTTTGTCTCTATTTTTATGGTTTTGTAAGTTGACCATAAATACCTGAATTGAAGCTCCGAGTCCCTAAATGGGGTACTTGCATAGACTAGTGGAAGCTGACTCCTCACTCTGGGTAGTTCGGTGCCCCTGAGCATATTGCACTGCTCCTCTCAGAACAGCCCTGGGAGGACTTTGCAAACTTCCAAAAAATCCTCTGTGAGATCCTGCTGCTGTCCTCCCCCTCTTGCACCGAACAAGCCATATACATGACAACATGTTCATCACTGCAGGAAAAAGGGTCAAATTTCTGCCAAATCATTTTTCTTTCTTGTATATCTGTACAATGCAGGGAAGGAATATTCCTCTGAGCCTACTTTCCTCTTTTTTTTGTTTCAGTTTGGTTTTTTTTCCTATTTACTGTTTCTACCTCCTGATGCAAAAAGGCTTGTATTTTCTTTGCCCTTCCCATTATCCACCTCTTCACACTCAATAGCCAGACCACAATTTACACTTTAAGTAATCAAATGGACATCTGCTTGGAAAATAATCTGATTACATGCAAGTAGTCTGAAAAAACAATATATTGAAATGTAGCAATTTAAAAGGTGCACTATTTAAAAACATTCCCTACTTATCTCATTAGGAGTTTGTGCATGTATGCTAAAGAGTAACATGAGACACTCATGGCATATAGGTGTGTGTGTCTATGTGTATTGTATTTCTATTTAACTAGTAACTGGTTTTAATATTTTTCTATAAAACATGTATGAAAATATATTTTTCTGATTATCTTATAACTAGTTGGGAAAAAAAAAACCACATATTTACCTGTACTGTACTAAATATTATCATAATCTTTGTTAATGGAAAAAAATACTCCAGATTTCAATCAGTTTCTGTGCAGAAGTAGAGAGGGTATTTCATCAGATGTTATTAGGGTAAAAATCAGGTGGGTTTTTTATAAATTAATTTAATTTTAATTTCTAATTTATCAGTACGATTTCTTTTTTACAAAGTCAATGCATTTGAAAAAACTATAACTACAGATATATGTGACAATTTGTGAAAGTAGATGACTTAATTAGTATTTTGACTTTATGAATCTGACACTTCTAATGTTTCTATTTGTTATTTTGTTTTAAATCTTCTAGAATGTACATAGCTATGATATACGTATCCACAGCTGATTTACACGTTATAGGTGTTACTGTGAACTATCCTTGAATATTATTTGGTTAGGACTTTTGTTTTAATATACACAGATATTGATAAATGCCAAAAATCAGTGCTTTAAAAAGATGAACATACTGCATAGAAACTAAACTATGAGTTGAGAAACATAAATGCAAATAACTGAGCTACTTGTTTGGAAATTGCATCCAAAATGTAAGTTGAATGACAACATGTCTTACATGAAATATATATTCCACTTATGTTAAGTGTTAAACAGTTTTCTTCCTCACAGAGATACTAAATAAAATTTTCAAACCTTTTGTGACAAAAAAGAAATAATATTTTCAAAATCTCTCCATTAAACTTTTTGTTAAATGAAGTTGGGTTCCTTTGGGGTGGCTATTGTACTTTGATTCACTTTCATTTCTGAAGTTCAGTTAGGGCCTTGTCCTGAAATGGAATCTCTTTTAAAGTCTCTTAAGACTTTATTGCAAACATGTACGCAACTTGTTTTTGCACAAGTAGTTCCACTCACCTCAATGGACTTGTTCCTGAAGACAATATCTATGAACTATTAATGGGTGAAACCTTTAGACTATAAATATTTCAGTGCAATACTTTCTTCATATTTATTTTGTACATCACCAGGCACACTGATACTTAACCAAGTACTTACCAGGTTGATCTGTGCATCTGGTTAAAAGCTGCAGTGAGCTGTCACTCCGTGACATGCCCCTAAACTAGCTCAAGACAATGTGCATTCATGTCACAGCACCCAGGCCTAAGCCAAGCTTGCTAATATGATTCAATACCTCTGTGCGGAAATCTCTGTTAATAACTGCATTATGACTTTCTGACTGGAAATGCAGAAGTTTTGGAGGTAGAATAATGTGTATGCAGGCAGTTCACTGCAGTTAAAAGCATTTAAAAACATGCAGCATGCAGAGACTGTGAAGGCCTTAAAACACTTCAAAATATCTATATATTTTAAAAGAATACAGAATACCTTTCTTAGGTGTCATATTCCCCTCTACAGGATGAAGAAGAAGCTTGCCTATAGCAAGGGGATTCCTGACATGTTCTCTAAACAACTTATGACTTGGGCTAGCAGGCTTATTTGATTTATGGAGGTCTTTCATAAACTGCACTCTGGCCACGTGACCTTTCCTTGTTGAAAAAATTAGAAGCTGTGTTCTATATACAAAGTATATGTATTATATACGCTAAATATACTCAGTGTATATTCAGTATTGGTAGAC